AGTGGTAAAAACTTGGTTTTGAGCTCCAAAATAGGAGGGGTGGCCTCCTCTCCTTGTGCCTTGTTTGCAAGTGTAGATAGCCTAACATGTGAGCATGTTTTTCTACCTTTTTGTGACTTGATCTCAGCATGTTTTAGGCTCTGATTTAGCATGATATAACTCTGTTTTATGCTATCTTGGTCATATAAGCCTTGTATTGCATAGCTATAGTGCAAATGCCTTCACTAGCTTAGTGATTTAAGGCCTCTAACATGTTTTGCTTGTGAGGATTACATGTTGTAGTATCATTTTACATGTGATTTCAGTGTGTATAGCTCTGTCACACTCTCACTTATTTCACGCTTTCATTGCTTTTGAGAGTTGTGCCTTGAGCCTTGTTTGCGGGCTAACATGCGAGCATGTTTTTCTTGCCTTTTATGCTTCAATCTCAGCATGTTTTAGCTACTTTTTTTACATGTCTTAGCTCTGTTTTGAGCTGGTTTGATCATTTGAGCTTGGTATTGCATGCCTCTTGTGTAGTGCTCTTCACTAGTTTATTGTTTTTGGCTCTTAACATGTTGTGCATGTGATGCTTGCATGTTATAGCACTATTTTTCATGCCATTTCAGCACTGAAAATTCTGCAACCTCCCTCTATTCTTCACTTTTCAATTTGTTTTGAAAGTAGTCTTGAGCCCCTTGTTGGCTTGAGTGTGAACTTGAGGTTCTCATGCCTAATGGTTTTAACCTTCTCTTAAGGGTTCCTCCTAACCAACAGCATGAGGCCTCTTTCATGCTCAAGGCACTTGTGGCTTAGGCCATCTTTCTAATTATAGGACAATCATTTTGGATTTAATAAGATAAAGAATGACTTGGTAATGTTAAAATGTGTAAACAAAATGAATCACGTAAAATATAACCAAGATAAACATGTTGTATTTGCATTGCATGTGTTCAATCGGACGTTATATTGAACACAAAGTAGATTGGTCCATTTCATACTCAAAGTGATGAAATGAGCCAATCTCCTTTGTCTCCATCACCCCTGATCATGCATGATAAGGCGGTGGTCCTTTGAGTCATATTTGTGTATTCATTGACTTTGTACAAGCTTGACTCTTTGGCCATCATGCATTGAAAATGCTTGGTTGATGGCTTGAGAACCAAGAATTACACTCCTTTGAGCTTGAGAAATGATAAGGAGGGTAATAGTACATATATTGTGTGAGAATACACTGTTTTGCCTATGTTTGCTCTCTATTGCAGCAAAAGGGAGAATTCGAGAGAAATGGCGGCCGACCGGCCAGTAGTAGTGGCCGACAGCCACCTATGGTAGTCAACTGGCCATCAGTGGAAAAGTTGTTCAAAGTGTTCCTGAGGTGGAGCAGAAGCAATCTGGAAATTGGTGTAATGTTCAAAAATCAAAGCAAAGTGCAAACAGAGGCATCCAAAGGCAAGGTGGTGGATTTTCGAAACGAAGCCAACTGAGCATGCATACGTCCCTCGCCCTTGAGGCCATTTAATTTTTTCAATTAGTTAGCGTAGCTAATCATTCAACAAGTGTTGCAATATTTTAATTAGCTTAGCATAGCTAATTATTCAATTATGGTTTGTAATAATTAGCTTAGCTTAGTCTAGCTTAGCTTATTTATTCGGACCCTCCTTCGAGAGGGCGCAATGTCGTAATAAGCATGCGTGCGTGTGTGTGTGCATGTCTTCCAACCCACTTCTTTCTCCTTTTTACTTAATCGTTTTCGATGGTTAGATTAGGGACATGTTTTGATTAGCATACCTTATGCTTGCATGTTTGCATCATTCATTTGTCTTGTATGCACCGAGGCTCGGCGCATCATTCAAACTGCATCATATTTCAATACTTACTTGAATACGTGTATCAAATTGTTACATTCATATGCCATCTTAGATAGCCGAGCCTATTAATTGCATTATTACATGTGTTGCATTAGGCATCTCGCATAGTTAGGATCATGCATATTTCTAACTACCTTTTGTTTTGGCTTGGAGTACACTGTAAGTTTTACGCTTTAGCATACTTGCATGAGTGTGAGTGTTGCCATGATAGCATGTTTGCGATGCGGCTATTTCCTTAAATGCTAAACTACATAAATGCCTGTGGATGAAGGCTTTGTTGCCTGACTTGGAACAATTCAACGAATGTGAGTTTTAAGCCCACTTTGCGAAGTGGCAAATCATGTTTTAAGCCCATCATGTTTGATGGCAAATCCGCGCTTTAGCCCACTTGCGAGTGGCACTTTCAAACCATTTTCAAAATCAAACATGAGTTGAATTCGTTCCAATTCTTGCGATTTTAGTCTACACTTGCTTGTGTGCGTCACATAGTAAAGTTAGCTGAATAATCGGAATAAGAACACATGTGTTTATCAAACAACATATCATGTTTAGTAGAGGCCGATCCTTTGATCGGGCGAGCGGGGGTGCTCATGTCATGACCTTCCCCTTTTGTACCCAAGTTTTCGAGCCGAGGCAACTTTGGTAATGACGGACACGTAGCCTTTGGCACGAATCAAGGTTTCCTAAATTTCTCAAAAATAAAATATTTAGGTGGCGACTCTATAATCTAGCAAAGCAGTCCAGTTTTTGGCATTATTTGACTCAAAATCAATTTTCCAAAATGATTTGTCGGATTGGACTCTTTGGTGTTTATTGGTCTCACATTGCACTTTGTGAGATTAAATTTGGAACCGTGACAGGAGTCTGAACTGTAGAAGACCAATTCACACCTCTCCGAAAAGGGGGCACGCGAAGAAAGTCAAGTCTACAGTAACCAAGGTAACAGATCAGTAGAAAATGGGTTGTTTGCCATCTTTATGGATGAGCTCCCAGACTCAATGAGTCCTAAGAGCCTGTTTACTCTGTTTAATAATTTTGGTGTAATTAAGGATGCTTTCATCCCAGCAAAAAGAAGGAAAGCAACGGGATCAAGATTTGGTTTTGTGAGATACGATTGCAAGGTTGCTATTAAAATGGTGGTGCTGACGGCGAATGGCCTGTGGTGTGACAACAAGGCACTGAAAGTGAAGAAGGTAGAATTCAAAAAATATGAGATTAAGCAACCTACAATGGTAACCAGAGGAAGCAATAGGATGATGTAGCGTCAACAGAGGAGTTTCGTGCAACGAAGGATGGAAAGTGTAGGCAGAAGATCTTTTGCAGAAGTATTACAGAATGGAGGTAGTACTGGAAAGGCACAACTTACTGTGAAGGCCTATGAAACTAGAAATCGGTGGCTTTATAACTGTATAATAGTCAAACTTAAATCTCTTCTATTATTCAATGAGTTTAAGGAGGAGGTTGCTAGAAAATGTGCAAAGGATGTAAGAGTTAGAGCTGGGGGAGGAAGGCTAGATGTGCTAACCTTCAAATCACAACAACATAAAAGGAGGTAAGGCCAAAGATAGAAGAGTGGATGGTCCACTGGAGCAATTTTGTTACAAATTGGGAGAAAGGAAAATCCATTGCACAAGAAAGAAGTGTGTGGATAACATGTGTAGGTGTTCCATTCAACTTGTGGAGTGTTAGTACATTAAGAGACATTGGCAAGGTGTGGGGTGAGGTTGTTCAATTAGCTGAAGATCTTAACAATCAGAGTTCTTTTCAGTGTGGGAAGGTAAGAATAATCACCAATCGATTGGAGTTCATAAATGAGGTGATTAATGTTGAATGTAATGGAAATATTTTCCCAGTTAGAGTGTGTGAAAAACTCCCAGCAGCAGTACAACCATGTCATTGCAAAAGCTTTTTCTTGGACAATGTGGGCACTGAATCTATAGGTCAAGAGGAAATAGATCAGCTGTCAAAAAATAGTGGGAAGGACATGGTGGAGAGAGTTTCAGGGGCAAAAGAGAAGAGTAATGAGTGGTTGTCTGCATCAGCCGTAAAAGAAACTATGGGTGTCATGGGTAATCCAAATGTCAGAGATGTAGGTAGGGAGGCTAACCAGGTGCATATGGAAATTCCAATAAATGAAACTCAAATTGTTGAAGGGCCTATATGCAACCCTAAGATCATCCGAAGCACTAGTGGGCCTGAGAGTCCAAGGCCCAAGCTAAACTTAGGCCTCGTTTGGGAACAGGCTAATTTAGTAACTTTTTGGCTATTTGGCTAAAATATGAACTAAAAAAAACTAGTATGTTTGGGATGACTTTTTGGCTTTTTACGAAATGATGCGCAAAAAGTAGAGAGAAAAGAGAATCTTTGACTTTTTGGTATGGGTTGTTGGCTTTTTGACTAATTTAATAACTTTTTGACTTTTTAACTAAAAAGAAAGGTTCTCAAACGAGGCCTTAGAGGTGATTTTGAAAGTTCCTTAGGATGGGGTATTGGCAGCTGGGCCCATAACTGAACCCTCAAATCTAAGTGACTGTATAGCCTAAACTCAATTTAGACCTCATGCTCTGCTTCCAGCCGTAGAAAAAGGGGTAAAAATAGGAACAACATCAAGGAAAGGGCAGATTACAAAATCAGAGATGAGCAGAAGCAAGAAGAAAGGAGTTGACCTGAAAAATATGGCAAAGCTTAGTCGCAAGCAGACCAAGCATAAAGGAGCAGTGTCCAACAACTATTTTCGAAGAAGAATTATCTTTAGAGCAGCAGCAGCTGCAATATCAATGTCAATTGAGCAGAGTATTAACTCAAGGAGAAGGAATAAGTTCCTAAGTGAAGCTCAAGCTACTATGGAATTTGGCAAAATCCTAGGTTTGAGTTGTGAAGGTATGGAGCAGGAGGGAATTAGCAAATTAATTGAACTTGAAGAGAAGGACCTGAAGAGAATTGATGGGAAGGGCATTACTCCGTAGGCCAGGTCAGGGAAAAGAAGAGAGGGATTTGGTACCTGTGAACAGTTTCTGTATGATTATTTTATCCTGGAATGTTAAAGGTCTGCGAAGACCTGAAAAGAGAAGAAAAATTAAAAACTTAGTTAGGGAGAGGAAGATTGATGTCCTGCTGCTGCAGGAGACAAAAAGGAGTAAAATAGATTAAATGTTTCTTAAGTCATTATGGCCATGGGAGAAGCTAGAGAGCATGGAGGTGGGGGCTGAAAGAAGTGTTGGTGGTTTGTTGTGCTTGTGGAATCCACAAATTTTTGAACTAAAGGAGTGTTGCAGCAACAGAAATTTCATACTTTTATCAGGTATGGGTCTTCATACTTTTAGTTGTGTGATTATAAATATATACGCACCCAATGATATGTTGAAAAGAAGACAATTAGGGTATTCTTTAGCCCAGCTTAAACCAGCTTTCTCAAGTCCCTGGTGTATAGGTGGAGATTTTAACGAAATAAGACTCATGAGTGAAAGAAAAGGATGCTCTAGAAGGGAAAGAGGGATGAAGGACTTCAATGAATTCATTGATAAGTTGGAACTGATTGATATACCAATGCTAGGCAGAAATTTCACTTGGTGTAATGTGATGGATGGAGATAGATGGAGTAGGATTTATAGATTTCTACTAGATCCTAGGTGGCTGGAAAGATTAAAGTTGAAACAGTGGGGGCTGCCTCGAAGCATTTCTGACCATTGCCCAATACTCCTCGTGGAAGATGAGCGGGATTGGGTTCCAAAACCATTTAGATTCATAAATGCATGGTGTTTACATCCTAAATTCAAAGAAGTAGTAAAGAAATGTTGGGAAGGAACACAGGTCAGTGGGTGGGCCAGTTATAAGCTATTGAAAAAGTTAGGAAATCTGAGAGTACATCTGAGAAGGTGGAACTGTGAAGTGTTTGGTAACCTTGATGAGTAGCTGAAACAAGCAGAGGATGAAATTCATGAATGGGATTTAAAAGTTGAAGAAAGGATTCTCCAGGATTCTGAGATTAAAAGAAGGGCAAAAGTTAGAAGTTTAGCCTGGGATTTGAGCAAGAAAAAGGAATGGTTGTGGCATTAAAAATCTAGAATGGTTTGGGCTGAAAATGGGGATAAAAATACCAGGTTGTTTCATATAATGGCAAGTAAAAAGTAAAGGAAAAACTTATTGAACTCAGTTAATGAGCATGGAGTACTGCATGATCAACCTGGAATGATTAAACAGGCTGTGGTAAGTCATTTCAATCAGTTGTTCACTAAAGGATGGAGGTGTAGACCAAAGTTGTCAAGTGTTTTTGCCTCAGTTAGTCAAACAGATTCAATTGAATTATTGGAGGCAGAATTTTTAGAGGATGAAATCTGGGTAGCAATCAAAGACTGCGATGGTAACAAAACCCCGGGGCCGAATGGTTTTAATCTAAAGTGTATCCAAAAATGCTGGGACATCATGAAAGGGGAGATTGTGCATATGATGCATGAGTTCCACTCCAATGGTAAGTTGGCCAAAGGAGTGAATAGTTCATTTGTTACCTTAATTCCTAAGAAGGAAAATCCAGTGGGTCTAAGTGACTATAGGCCAATCAATTTGGTTAGCTCCATGTATAAAATAATTGCCAAAGTCTTATCAAAAAGGTTGAGGTAGGTCTTACCCAAGATCATTAGTGAAGTACAAACGGCATTTCTAAGTGGAAGATACATTCTAGATGGAGTTCTAATTGCCAATGAAGTGGTGGATTGGTGGAGAAGGTCAAAAAAGAAAGGAATCATCCTAAAATTGGACTTTGAAAAGGCATATGACTCAGTAAATTGGGAGTTTTTGTATTCAATGATGGCCAATTTTGGTTTTGGTGAGAAATGTGTGGGTTGGATAAAGACGTGCATATCTACAGCTAGAATTTTTGTACTAGTAAATGGATCACCTACTTTAGAGTTTTCCCCCATGAAAGGCCTTAAGCAAGGCGACCCACTTTCACCTTTCCTTTTTAACATTGTAGCAGAGGGCCTTAATATACTTGTGGAAAGAGCAAAAGAAGAGGGTTTGATCAGAGGAGTCACAGTAGGGCCAAATGAGTTGAAACTATCACACTTGCAATTTGCTGATGATACTATTATATTTTGTGAAGCTGAATGGGAAGAAATTGTTGCTTTGAAAAGGATTTTAAGATGCTTTGGGGTGATGTCAGGACTCAAAATAAATTTTCATAAAAGCAAAGTGCGTGGGGTGGGTATTCAGGATGACCTAGTGAAGGTCTTTGCAAAGAAACTTAACTGCCTCAGCCAAAAGCAGCTAATGAACTATCTGGGACTTCCATTAGGAGCAAATCCAAGACGAAAGATCTCATGGAAACTAGTAGTGGATAAGTTCAAGAGCAAGCTAGCTTCATGGAAGAGAAGGTATCTGTCTTTTGCAGAAAGATTAACACTACTAAAGTCTGTTTTCACAAGCTTGCCAGTCTATTTCCTATCCATCTTCAAGCTACCAGTAGGTATTGCAAAATCAATAGACAAAATTCAAGCCAATTTTCTTTAGGGAGGCTCTGAAATATGGAAAAAAATGCACCTAGTTAGCTGGAAGGAGATTTGTCTAAGCAAAAATCAAGGTGGGCTAGGTGTGAGAAATCTAAGTCAAGTTAATGAGTGCCTTTTAATTAAATGGTAGTAGAGATATGGCAAAGAGGATTCAACTTTGTGGAAACAAGTGGTATGCAGTAAGTATGGAGGTTTGGGTGGTAGATGGAGCCCATTTTTAGGAGAGTCACTGCCCATGTCAAATTTGTGGCAGGGTGTACTATCAGTGGCTACAAAAAATCCTGACTTACGAGATTTCTTTTTGCAAAATTTTAAGGTAATTGTTGGAAATGGTAGAAGAGTGCGGTTCTGGATTGATAGGTGGATTAATAATCAAAGTCTGAATAAGGTATTTCCCAGATTATTCTCCTTGTCAGTTGAAAAGGATGGCACTCTGTTTAAATATTTTCATAGCAGAGGAGTGGGTACAGATTGGAATATTGCCTTTAGAAGGCCTCTTCTTGCTTGGGAAGAGGAGGCAGTGTTGAAACTTAATGATTTGTTACAGAGTGCTCCTAGACTAAATGAAGGGGTTGAAGACTATTGCTCTTGGTTAGCGCACCCTTCTGGAGTCTTTAATGTGTCATCAATCTGGAAGTGGGTGGTAGCATGTAAAGGGCCAACTATCACAGTCACTAAAAGCATTTGGAATAATTTAGCCCCTCCCAAAGTACAGTTTCTGAGTTGGTTGGCTTGGAGAGGTAGGATTAAGTCCTCTAAGTTTTTACATAGGATTGGAGTATTGAATTCTAATGTTAGTGCATTGTGTGTGTTTTGTAAATCTGAGGTGGAGTCTTTAAACCATGTCCTCCTTCACTGTCCTAAGATCTGGAGAATATGGGCCAGTATTGTGAGTTGGTGGAACCTGAGTTGGGTTATTCCTGGTTCAGTAGAGGCAGTACTTCACTGCTGGTCAGGTCCAAAAATGAAGAAAAATGTAAAGGAGATCTGGAAGATGATACCATTGGCAGTAAAGTGGTCAGTGTGGAAACTCAGGAATGAGTGCATATTTAAAGAAGCACAACCAGCTTTGAATGATTTGGCTGATCTAGTAAAACCAGAGTTGCTATGTGGGCTGTTTCCTCCTTGAAAGAGTTTAATTACTCGGTGCATGATGTGTTATATAACCTGAAGCAGGTCTGCAACTGTGTGTAGAAAATGGGACCTAAGGATGCTGAATTGCTGCTAAGTATGTTGGTGCTGGTGGTTTTTTTTTGGTGTTCGATTTTGATACAAGGAAATTGAATTGTTGTTCTGGTGCTGGTGTTGGTCTGCTATGCTGGTGGTTTTTTGCTGAATCAGATGCTCTGGTGCTGGTGTGGATGCCTGCTATGGTGGTGGTTTTTTTGCTGTTCTGTTTAGGCGAAGTTTTTGTATCAGATATGGAAGTTTGGTGTTGTGTGATGCTTGCTGAAATATGATAATGTTGTTAATGTTTTGTGGTAAAGGATTGTGTCTAAGGTTAGATTTTTGTTTATAAGGTTGATGGCTGGGTGAGAATTTGGGATGAGATGATGTTTTGGGCAAAAAGAACCTAGGTGTACTGATGTATAAGACTCTTTGTTGGCTGTTTGTGGTTAATTTGTTTTATTAGAATGTTATGCTCAGAAGTGGCTGTCAGTTTTGGTTATGTTTTTGTGGGATTTCTATTCTGGCTGGGAGTTTCTGCAGCTGGATATATGAGTATGCAGGCTGCTGGTTTTTATAGCAGGTCAGCTACTGGTCTGATGGTTTTAATCAAATTTGAAGCTACTGCATAGTGATAATATTGGAATGATGGTTCTAATCAAATGCAAGCCTTGGTGGCTGTTAATCAGCAGTGGTGTATGCTGCTGTTGTATGATGCTACTGCTGGAGTCTCAATGATTTGGAGCTGCTTGTGCATTGGTTTGCTGTATGGATGAAGCAGTGGTCGTGTCAAGTACTGAGATGCTGCAAGGATTTTTGCATGTCTTCACCAGTTGGCTCATCAGATGCTTGTAGGAATGGCGGATGAATCTGTCCAGTTGTTTTGTTTTGGCAACACCAGGTGGTTCTCTTGTGTGTGTTGCTGCAGGGCTGGTTGGCATATGCCTGGGTGCCCAAATCTGTTCTGATTTTGTTCTGTCCTGAGTTGCTGATTTGTTCTATTCTGAGTCTTGTTGCTGAGTTGAATTGGTGCTGATTTGTGTTCAATTGGTGTTACAACTTGGAAGTTGGAGTTAAACCCCTAATTAAGCTCAGAGGAAGCGTACTTGGGAATCCACTAACACATGAGCATGATGATTGGCTTGCACTTATATCAGATGGACTTTTTGAGTCAACAAAAACAAACTGTCATGGTGAGTTTTGGATGTAGATCCCAACAATGCACCATGTACAAAGGATCTTCAACTTGTCACAAACTGCAATGATCTGTTAGCTGTGGACTGTTAATATGCTGAACAAATGCTCCAGTGGAGGGGTTTATGGATGAATGGTCTTTAAGGGTTGTTAGGCTGGGCTGCTGAGTTTGTAGTTTTATGGTTGCTACTGTTTGTTTGTTTTTGTTTTTGCTCTGCATGTTGGTTACTCACCAACTTGGAGCTTGGAATTTGTGCTAGCAGATGATTTCGTGTGCATCTAGGTGCCAACCTAGTTAGGATTTGGATGTTCCACTGTGATGCTTTTTGCACCCTCCTCTTTATTGATGTACGTTACCATACTCTGTATATTTTTCTATCAATAAAATTTTTTTGCTGATTAAAAAAAATAAAAAAATAAAAGTCTTGATGGCGAAGATAAACGAAATGAAAAGGTACACAGCCCTTTCTTTGCAACACACATATTGCAAAGTCAAATATCACAGATTCACCACATTGATGTATCTTTTAATCTTTACAAGAAGCTTCTCTTCAGGTCAAGGTTTTGAGATCAATTCGTAAATTGGAACTTATTGATGTCATTCTTGGTCAATATAAAGCTAGCTCAGGAGATAAGGTTGATGCTTACTTGGACAGTTCGATCCCCACATTCTTGGTCAATATAAAGCTGGCAAGGGACTCATCAAACACAGGTAGCTAGGATTAGTCGCAGTTTTGTTATTATGAGTTTGTTGTAAACTATAGTGAAATTCCAGACTGTTCAATTATCAGATTTCAACGCATGACTAAAATTTGTTACAAGTTTGTGACTCCTTTGTATAACTCTCATTTATATGTTAAAATATCAGTTGGTAATTTATTCTAAAAATCTAGAATTCACCTCGAAAGAATGTTACGTGTTGACTCCGCCAGTGATTTAGAATTTTTGGTAAATGTGATATCTTCTTGACTTCAATAATGGTTTATACTTATTTGATAATGTAATAAATATCTTGGCTTTGCATTTGACTTATATTTTTATTTTTTTCCGTACTTAATATTCAACTTCTTATCACAACATGCTATAACACATTTGGCAACTTTATAGGTAGTGTTTGGTCCGTTGGGATGATTTTAGACAAAAATGGCATCACTATTCCTTGGCCTTCTAGTGAGATGACTATTCTCCTAAATTGGTGATGGTGATCGATTTCTAATGTAGATTCCTTTCTTTCTACAGAACCAAACATAAGAATGGATGTGCTACCACTACAAAAAATTAAGGTTTTAGATACCAAAATTTAGGAACAAAATTATTTTTGAGGGACCTGTAACAACCCTGACCTATGATTAGTTGATAAATCATGATTAATTATGCCTAATGAGTAATTAAGATGAAATTCTAAATTAATTGAATATGTGTTGCATTATTTGTGTTTCTATTTGTTTGTCGTAGAAATATCTGTTTATGTTTTTGTTTTGTTCTGAGAATTAAAGGCCTTATTGACATCCGATCATGAAATTGATTTGATTTTTATGTTATTTTAGATTTTTAGAATTTTATGGTAGGTTTCATTAAAATTCGATTCGGAACGAATAAATTAGAATAATTAATGTACATTTGATTAGCATTAATTCAACTCCTTAATCCAGCCTATATAAGACTCTTATATGCCCCAACTCATCTCTTTTCTTCATCATATCTTTGAGCTTACACAATCAAGCAAAACGTAAGGGAGAGAGAAGGAAGAGACCAAAAGGGTGTGAGATCACACTTGAGATTGGGAAGGAATTTGCTAAAGAATTAAGGAAATTGGCTTGGAAGCTTAAAGATATAGCAAGCTAGAGCCTTAATCAAGAGTGAGGTAAGGATTTAAGCCTTTCCTTGTGTAATTGAGACATAATACATGAATTCAAGAGGAATTAACACAAGAATTAAGCAAGGGAAGGAAATTAAGAAGATTACCATACATGCATTCAAATTCTCTTGCATTTAGAGTTGGATTTGAACAATTCACACATGCATGCCTTGATCATAGCTTGGTTTTGGAATGTCATCCAGTTTCATACCATTTTACCTTGTTTGATCATGTTTTGAAAGCTTTGAAGTCAAAAAATTATATGTATGTTATGTTCTTTAAACTTTAAGCTTGAATTTGCGTAATTGACTTACTCTTGGGCCTTGATTTTGCGAAATGGTTTTGAATTCATGATGTTTTCCAAGTTTAAACAAGCTTCCTTGAGTTTTTGGCCCAAGAGAGCATGTTTTGCAACATTGAATTTGAGTTTTGAGCCTGGTAGAGCGATCTAGAAATTTCATAATTCTGTCTCTTCGCTTGAGCGACAGATCTTGTACTCGAGCGACCACTCTAAGTTGTGCACTTCCACTTAGGTGACCAAAAGTTAGCTTGAGTGTAAAATGCATGCTCCTAGAAGTTGACACATTTTGCAGACCGCTTGAGCGACAAGAGTTGCACTCGAGCAAGTACCTCAGTCTCACGCTCGAGTGACTGTCGAGCGAAAAAATCAAACAACCAGTACTTTTGTAGAGTTTACAGACCGCTCGAGCGAAGGAAGTTGCACTCGAGCGACTACTCACATTTTTTAATCTCCGCTCGAGCGAGGACTCTATTTTCAGCAAATCGGACCAAGTGTTTTCAAATGCATTCTGGCATCCTCATTGCATCATAGGCATTCGTAGGCCTTTAATTAAGACATAGTAATGAAGACAAAGACTTAGAAACACACTAAAAGCAAGGCAAATTAAGTTAAGTGTTTTCAAGTATGTGTTTTAGTGTGCATCTGTTATCTGTTTATATAGGTCATGCGCCATAAGCTATTTGATCTATCTGTTTGCCTTTGGAGCCAACTGTAAGTAATAACTTTGTAAAACTATGTTCAATTTATAAATATTTTCTAAATGATATGAAATGATCTGTTTTCTGAAATATTATTTTCTGCATGAATGAATGATTGTCTAAGTTTTTGAAATGTATTTGTGGCATCCTTAGTTTTAGATGACATCTGTTATCTGTTTTGTTATGTCCCAATTATGGGCCAACTGTACGTCTCATGAGCCAATTGTTATGAATCCTTCTGTATACGTCCTATGTATGGGCCAAATGTACGTCTCATGAGTCAACTGTATGCTTTAATGGACGTCCCTTTATGGGTCAACTGTTTCCGCTAATGCTAATGGATGTATCACGTATGATTAACTGCAAATTCTGATTATGAGTATGATTTTGAATCTATTTCTGTAACGGTTATGGACAACGTTCAATAAAACCTTTACTTTGTTATTATTCACTGGGATTCCGCTTACTGTATTATTTATGTATGTAGGTGATCAGACGCGTGACCAGGCTCAATGATGATCGCTTGGAGCTTGTTTTGTCGGCCAACCCTTGTACCTCCCGAGGAGGTTTCGAAAGTCATGTGGTCAAGTTTTGTGAATCACGTGAAGAATGTTTTTGTTTTGTTTTTGTCTATCTATACTTTAGGCTAAGTCCCTTATGACACTATCTATATCTGTATGGTGATGCATGACGTATGGAAGTTTGACATTATATGTATAAGTTTCAAATCTATTCAGTACAGCTCAATGGACTATGTATGTTTATATATTTGCTTTCGCAGCCCCTTAATATGTGATAAATTGTTCTAAGGCCATTGGTAATCTAAGGATTACTAACCGGTTACGACGCTAAACCTATAGGGGTGGGTTTGGGTCACTACAAACCAAATAATTTTGTTATAAAAAGTGTCGCTATTATATTTTTAGCAACAAAAATTGGACATTAGTGATGAATTATTATCCTTTTGGACTAAATTTTTTGTCTCAAAAACTAAACCATTTTGAGACTAAATTATTTAGTCCCTAAAAGTCTATTTATTAGCGACATTTTTAAAATTTTGTTGCTAAAAACTTTATTTTTTACTTTTCGAGATGACCTTTTAGCGACTATCCTCATGACGATGGAATTTGATTTCTAAATGTCTTTTACAACAAAATTTTCACTTTTAAAGATCAAAACATTTAGTCTTTAAAACTCTTATATATTGTAATTTAAAGATTCATTCCAATGAACCAAACACCGTATGATGATTTGAAATTTGAATTCTTTAGGAATGGAATAGTTCATGTATATAGAAGTTACAATTGTGCATGATATTTTGTTTAATGCTATGGTAAAGCTCAAGTGACTGATAGTAGTAGTTCCTACTTATAACTCTAAAATAAATCAATGAACAAACTGCAAGCTTGTTATTTTTCTAGCATTTGCAATTGCTTTATTCCCATATTTTAATAAATTTGTTTAAACATCTATTTTCCTAACAAATAGAATCTCTTCACCCATATTAGCTTTATTACATAGGGTGGAGATACGCATATAGTTTTGTCACGTTCCCGGAAACCCTTACCGTGACCGCATGGGCCATAACATTGACCTCGCCACTAATGAACTGATTTTACGAGATGTGCCTGACGAAGCCATCCTAGTCAGAGTTAACAACAAGGTTCAGGACTAAGTTTGCATTTGGATGCTTCTGAACTAAATTTGCTCTACAAGGATAAGTATAATATTTCACTCCTATATTTAAGATCTTTCGCTTCAAATGCATAATTCTACCAATGCTAAGACCTTATCATTGATGTCCATTACATGTCTGTCATTGTGTTCATACGAGCATTTGCTTCTTGATGTGATTGATGGAGACAACCATCAATTTATGACAAGTGATGATCTTGAAGCTGCCTAGAAGATTTTATCTCCAGTTCTGCAAGAGATAGACAACAAAAATATGGCACCAGAGCTGTATGAGTTGAAAGGTAGGGGTCCAGTTGGAGCCTTCTATCTCTGGGCAAAACATGGGGTTTAGTGGGTTGATGACTAGTAAGGCTCTCTACCCCATCTTTGTTTTGTTTCTTGAGAATGATTTGAATGCACAATTAGTGATTAGAGTTCCAATGGTTCTTACATGAAACAATAATAAAATTTACTATATTGTGATAATGAGTTGTGACCATGTGTTTTTCCTTCATTTGAAGACTAAAACCTATTTGGTTGTGTTTTTGTTTTTTTTTTTATCAGCAAAAAAGAATCTTTATTGATGGAAAACATACATAGTATGATAACGTACATCAATAAAAGGGAGGGTGCAAAAAGCATCACAGTGAAACATCCAGATCCCAACTAGGTTGGTACCTAGATGCCCACCAAAATCATCTGCTAGCACCGACTCCAAGCTCCAAGTTGGTGAGTAACCAACATGCAGAGCAAAAACAAAACAAAAAAAAAAAACACGCAAACAGCAGGAGCATTTTTCAGCAATAACCCCTCTGCTAGAGCATTGGTTCAGCATATAGACAGTTCAGCATAACCCCACTACAGTCCATAGTTAGCAGGTCATTCCACTCATGGACAGAGCAACAAGCACAAAAAACATATCAACAAAAACTATGTCTAGGAACAGCAACTGGCATTAGTAGCAGGGCAGCAGCATAAGTGTATCCCAACAGATCAACAGCAGTTCAGTAACAGATCAACAGGGCACCCCAGCAGAACAACATAACATATCAAACCAATCGTCGAATATACCACAAAGCAATACCAGCAGCAGAGCATACCAACAGCAGGGCATACCACCCAACAGAACCAGTAGCAGCAGCGCATAATCAACCACCATTCCTAATGCAGTATTGTACTTGTTGCAAATTAAACACAAGGTCATTAACAGAGAGCACCGCATCCATTGGAGAAGCCTTGATCCACATTGCTACTCTCACCTTAACAATATCACACAATTCTTCCCAATTTGGTTGAATGTCACTAAACATAGTCATTTCTGTGCTTCCAAATAGACCAGAGAATGGCTAAGGGAATGACTGCCCAAATTTTCTTTTCCAACTTTTTCATTTTACACCCCGACCACCACTGCAGCAATCCATTTACAGAACCAGATAACACCCACTGAAGACCCCACCATTTTACAATGTTTGACCAGAGCCTCCATACAAAAGGGCAAAAAAGAAGGATATGATCCACGGTTTCTATCTCATTTTGACAAAACACACAAACAATATTGGCATTTCCATCAAGGATACCAATTCTTTGCAAAAAGCTAGAAGTTTTAACCTTGCCATGCCAAGCTAACCACCCAAAAAATTGCACTTTAGATGGAGCACAATTATTCCAGATTGTTCCTGCCATGTCCAGCTTAGGTACCTCACATTGAGGGAACCACGTAAAAATTCTTGTGTTGCCTTTGATTTAATTTTTCCGCATTAGTTTTTATTCCCATTGATTGATTTACTTGTGGGGAATCACATCGATTTTCCCTAACAAACATAACCCCACTACAGTCCATAGTTAGCAGGTCATTCCACTCATGGACAGAGCAACAAGCACAAAAAACATATCAACAAAAACCATGTCTAGGAACAGCAACTGGCATTAGTAGCAGGGCAGCAGCATGAGTGTATCCCAACAGATCAACATCAGCAGTTTAGATCAACAGCAGTTCAGTAACAGATCAACAGGGCACCCCAGCAGAACAACATAACATATCAAACCAATCGTCGAATATATCACAAAACAATGCCAGCAGCAGAGCATACCAACAGCAAGGCATACCACCCAACAGAATCAGTAGCAGCAGAGCATAATCAACCACCATTCCTAATGCAGTATTGCACTTGTTGCAAATTAAACACAAGGTCATTAATAGAGAACACCGCATCCATTGGAGAAGCCTTGATCCACATTGCTACTCTCACCTTAACAATATCACACAATTCTTCCCAATTTGGTTGAATGTCACTGAACACACAGTCATTTCTGTGCTTCCAAATAGACCAGAGAATGGCTAAGGGAATGACTGCCCAAATTTTCTTTTCCAACTTTTTCATTTTACACCCAAACCACCACTGCAGTAATCCATTTACAGAACCAGATAACACCCACTGAAGACCCCACCATTTTACAATGTTTGACCAGAGCCTCCATACAAAAGGGCAAAAGAGAAGGATATGATCCACTATTTCTATCTCATTTTGACAAAACACACAAACAATATTGGCATTTGAATCAAGGATACCAATTCTTTGCAAAAAGCTAGAAGTTTTAACCTTGCCATGCCAGGCTAACCACCCAAAAAACTGCACTTTAGATGGAGCACAATTATTCCAGATTGTTCCTGCCATGTCCAGCTTAGGCCCAAGAAAAGACTCACACCAATTATACACTGAAGAAACACTAAACATCCTTGATGTACCTTCTGCCCAAATCAATTCATCTGTTTTTGTATTGCAAAGTGGAGTTACAGAATTAAGTAGAGTGTACAGCCTATTAGCCTCCTGCTCCTCCCAAGCCAACAGTGCTCTTCTAAAACCCACTGTCCAACTTCCAGCTACTCCCCTTCTCTGGAAAAAGCTATTAACCACACCATACTTATTAGTAGATAAGGAGAACAACCTTGGAAATTCCTCCTTGAAGCATACATTACCTGCCCACTTATCCAACCAGAAATGTGCTCTCCTTCCATCCCCCAACACAATAATAAAAAAACATTGAAAAGTTAAAAATTATCCATCCTTTCCGTATTGTTTTCAGCTTTTGCAAAAGTAGTTTTAGAAAATTTAGAAACAACCTTTTGGTGTCTCTTAAAAAGTGAGTTATTTAAGAAAAAATAAAAAAAAAAAGTTTTTGGAAACAATTTGCAAACAAGTTTGTGTTTTTTAGGAAGGAAAATAAGAAAAACAAAATAACAATCAAACATTTCTACCTGGCATTTTGCAATTTCCTTATGTTCTTTTGTACCAAAATTTCAAATTTACCTGATAAGGTTTCAAAAGTGACATAACATTGCATGCTCTATGTTGTGGAGTGTGTGTATTTTAGAGGAAATTTGAGAGATATAAATAACGAAAATTAAGAGATAATCTCTCCGCATTGATCTTCATGTTGTAATTCAATGGGCTAGGTTTAAAGTTGAAGGAAAATGATGTCCTGTGCTTTTTAAAAACAAAATGTATTTTGATTCATTTTACTATAATTTTATACTTAAATCGTTAAATTGTGTATTTTTACCGACAAATTTTGTTGTGACAAAAACAGAAAAATCATGATAGAGTACCTCTATCCACAAATATTAGCCGCCCTCCATAGCTTTTGCTACTTTATAGCCACTCCTCATTTCCCATCGGTTGAGCTGCTCCCATTCCTCTCGCTTTCAATAGACAGGTCGATCAAATGAGTACAGTGTGATGCCAACTTTTTCACCTATACAACTCTCCCTTCACCCTCTTGTAGTTAGTGTGGCCCCTTTTTAAGCAAAAAAAAAAAAAAAAAAAAAAAAAAAAAACACGAGTTTGTGCTACCTCTTGCCTTTGTTTCTAACCAATAATGTTAGAAACTAAGAATTTAGACATAAAAAAGTATCAAGCAAAATTATGTAATAATTGAATTTAGATCCCATATTATTTTTTTTTAGTACTTTTTTGTGTCTAAATTTTTGATCTCTAACATTACTCATTTCAGGAACTAGGGATGGGCTGGGTTGGTTCCATATATTGTCTATGTGCATTAGTGATTAGATGATTGCATTAGTGATTAGATGATCAGTCACACTGGGATCAACACACAGATCTACACCCTTACATCCTTTATCACTGAGCAGTCATTTAGCTGCCTTAGTTGGTGATCCGGATTGTTTCCCTTTCAATGATGAAGCTTATCCCCCACTGTCTCACTGTCTAACCTTGATCCTTGTTATTTTGAGGTCATACCAATTATTAATCTAAATTCAAGTTTAAAACTTATGAAGGATAAATAATTTGACTCATTCCCATCTATATTATGAATGTTTGGAATTCATATTATGCAGGAAGACATTGCTTGTGAGTAGTTCATATTACATTTACATAAAGGCTTAAATATCTAATGTTACTTTTTGAACAATGCAATCCACTTTGGTAATCATCGTATCTGGATTGGACAGTTGATAAGAAGAAAAGTTGTTAAAAGCACAGGATAGAGGGCCTCCACTTGAATTGGATTTTAGCATATATTGATGTATTTGTATGAAAATATGTGACCATCAGGGCAGTTGTTTTCGTGTGTGGGTCATGCTAGGCTATTTATCCCTATTTGTCTATTCAAAACAATAATAATCCCATGATCGAATTTGAGTATCAAAATATTATTTGATGTTTTATTAATGCTTTAGTTTAATGGCTTCCTCCATTTGTATAAAATATGAGGTTTTAAGTATGAGTCACGGCGACGCTAACGCAACTGTATAGCATAACAATTGGAGCAACTAGAGTCGTTGAGTCGTTAATCTTTTATTTCTTGGCAAAAATTTTTAAAAAAAACTTATTAATACACATGTTTTTATTTCAAAAGATTCAAAATAGTTTTTGATGGATTTTGTTTATATTTTAAACATGACCCAATACATGTTGTGATTTTTACACTAATCCTTAAGAAAAATGCTTCCTACCCCTAGCTGGGGGTGACACCCAGTGAGGTGTCAGCTGGGGGTTGGTCCGAAAAAAACAATTTTTTTTTTTTTATTTCCGACCAATGGGGGCGCGCCACGTCACTGAGTGTATGAAGCAAGGTTGAATCCTTAATCAGTATGGATATATAAATTTTGGTTGATTTGATTTCTTTATTTTATTAATTTTACGTATAGATTACTTCTCTAATGTTATGGGGAAAAAAAATCACAAAAGCTATTTAATATTAATTCAACATTCAAAATGTCAACCAACTAATGTAACTAAAGTACATAGCATGATAATAAATTTAACCTTAATTGAAATAGATTTGTTGTTCAAAGAACAAAAATAATGAATGATTGAAAAAGAAAAAGAACAAGAACAAGAACAAGAAAGAACTAAGTTTAACTAACCTTATTCATCCAAAATAAAAAAAGCTCAACTAACCTTGATAGCAATTCAAATCTTTTAGAACTTAAAGATTGGACACTCGTGACATGTAGATTTAAGATTTATGTATAAGTTATAACTTATACATGTCTTTTATGTGATTTTAATAGCTTGGGAAAAAAAAATTTAAAAAAAAAGTGATTTTATATACAAAATTAATTAGGTCATCAAAAAGAGACAAAGAAAAAAGAGGGGGTTAAAACAAAAGTGGAATAGTCATGGCCAAAATGTTTTATTTTAACGATGCTATAATGGGTGATCATGGATTCGATGACTTGTTCAACCTAGCTCAGCATGATATTTTTAAGGCTTCGGATAGATTTGGCTGAGATTTTAAGCCATCGTTTGGCATGTTAGATTTTTTAATTTTTTGGTTATTTTAGTCACAAAAAGATAAAATAGATTTTTTAATCAAATAAGACATAACATCATATTCAATTCATAATTATTTCATTTTTTGTCTTACAAAAGTCAAAAAAATCAAAAAGACTATCCCAAACGAAACTTTTTAGTCTCAGACTAGAATAGCTAAAAAAATCAAAAAATCAAACCCACCTTCTAAAGGAAAGTCTATTTAATATTCAAAAATTTGGAATTAGAAGTTTTAATCTGGCCTGGTCTACTCATTCATAAAATATTAGTTTTAATATTAATATTATATTATGTAATTACAAAATAAACTAAATAATTAATAAAATATTAAGATTTAAGATTTAAATTAAAATAATTTTTTAATATTGGGCGAATTACATTAATGGTCCTTGTAGTTTGGAGTTTGTATGGCTTTGGTCCCTAACTTTTTAATTATGATACATTTCACCCTGAATTTTGAATCTCATTCCAAATAAGGACAATTGAAGATATTATTGTTCCATTTCAAGGACAAAGTTGTCAATTTGATAAAATATAAACTAATTTGACAAAAATAAATGTTAAAAAATTATTTTTAAATTTTTTAAAATTATTTCTACTCACCAAAGATAAAATTTTATAAAAATGATAAGTTTTTTATATTTTTATATTTTTATTTTTTTTACCAAATTAATTTTTTGTATGTGCTTGGTTGATGATCATGTAATGAGAGGTTGTTTTTGTTGATATTTTTAGATGATTATCATGTAATAGATGGTTGTATTTGTTGTTAATAGATTTTTTTTTTTTGTGGTTATCATGTAATAAATAGTTATTAGGCTTTTAATGTATAATTGATATGTTAATATATGAAATGTTTTTAGTTTTGGATTTTTGGATTTAATAGACTGATTTAATAATTATATTAAAGTTGTCGTCATGTTTGAAAAAAAAATAAAAATTAATTTAAAGAACTTAAATATCAAAAAAAAATTATTTTTAAAAATTATTTCTACCCCCAAAAGATAAAATTATATAAAAATAATGCGTTTTTAATTTTTTTTTCACCAATTTAATTTTAAGTTTCTTAGGAAAAAAATTTAAAAATAGATTCTGAAAACCAAACTAAACAGAACTTTATAACAAAAAAGTTTCAACATTATTCATTAAAAAAATAGCTATTATATTTCAAACAACAAATAAATTAACCAACACAAAATAAGTTGTATGACGATTTTGCCCTTCAAATTGAATAACAATATCTTCAATTGTCTTTATTTGGAACGAGATTTAAAATTCAAGGTTAAATGTATCACAATTGAAAGGTCGGAGACCAAAGTGATAAACCCCAAACTATAGGGATTGTTAGTATAATTCGCCCTTTAATGTTTTAAATTCAAATAATTTAATAATTTTTCAAGACAAAATAATAATAATAACAATAATAATAGTCCATATTTATTGGATGAGGTACCTGAGCTTGAAATTTAGAAGTTGTTTTAAGGTTAAGTTTGGAATAGTTAAATTAGACCAAATATCGGGCTGCGCCGAGCCGAATTTGGAATGACATTTATATGTGCAATCTCAACCTACTATATGTCCACCCTTAACAGTAACAGTGAAACCATTACGCAACTTTTGAAACTTTATTTTTATGATGATACAATTATAACATATTAGAGCAACTCCAAAAAATGAGGCATAATAGTTGTATTAGCTATTTTGGTTAGTGAGATTATGCTTCCGTTTGGGAAGTGGGTTGGCTTTTTGACTTTTTGACTTTTTGGTTATTTTAGCCTGGGCTATTTTAGCCTGGTTTGGGAAGTATTTTTTGGCTTTTTGGCTTTTTTGACTTTTTTTGTGAGAGAGGATTGTAATAATTATGGGTTGGATTTGATGTTTTGTTTTTTGGGACTAAAATAGCCTATTTTGTTTTTTGTGACTATTTTAGCCAAAAAAGCCTGGGCTTTTTCTTGCCAAACGGAGGCATATTTATTTTCTTCCAACAGACTCTACATCACAAGAGGCATTTTGTCAATTTTTATTTTGGCTCTTCACAAGTAACTAGTGTTTATTTACTAGGTAAAGAGTCTCCTCGCCACTGTTTAGGTTTCCATCTATTCTTTATTGCTTCGCTGTTCTAGTCCGTTGAACACATGTATGCCTCTATTTCTCTATCCTTTCTCTTTGTTTCTCTTTCGTATAAAAATATTATTTTAAAAAATAATTTAATAATATA